CAGAGGAGGAGCGCAGAGCAGAGGAGCTGAAGATGCGGCTGGCCTCTGCTATGTTTTGCATCAATACCAAATAATAATAAAAAAAGAAAGATTCAGAAAAAAACATCGCAATAAATATGAATATTAAAGATAAAAATAAAGGTGGAAAAATGATTAAACCTTCCTCATCTATCCCTCTTATATTCCGGACTGACCGAGCCGCGTACATACTGTGCAGCCGCTGAGCAATATTTGTGGCTGTTGTCTCTCAGAAAATCATGAAGAGTGTTTCTGCATTTTGTTTTGACATCACTTCTGCAGTACTGCGAGAAAAGAAGCTGACAAATCAAATGTGTATGACCAATGTGTATGGAATCAGGACCTCCTTCCTCCTGCTTGAGATCCCTCTAGTGATAGATCTATATAGAGGGATAATGTGTATGACCCATATGTATGAGAACTGTCCTGTAGCTTTGTTAGATCTGTTGTGGCTGCTACTTCCTCCGGTCACTTCAGACCAACCACTGCTTTGTTACATTTCCCCCATGGCAGTGCCCAGCACCCCCCCCCCCTCCCCTTTTTTATAATAGCTTGCCTATTAGCCTTAAACATGTCCAGAATTTTAGTATCAAGATTGCTCCCCACCTCCCCAGGCTTGGAGGGAAGTTCGTGGAGGTGCACAGTCATTGGATGAGAGGGTAGTACATGGAGGTGCACAGTCATTGGATGAGAGGGCAGTACATGGAGGTGCACCGTCACTGGATGGGAGGACAGTACATGGAGGTGCACAGTCATTGGATGGGAGGGTTTTTTATTTTTTTAGTTGCTATTTAGGAAAATGAAGGGAAAGGCCCAAAAAGTGTTCTGTAAACTTTTTGGGGTTTTTTTTTTGAGGAGGAGGATCACGTGATAAAAATAAAATACAACAAAAAGGGCAAAAAAAAAGTTACAACAACAAGATAAATATAAGTGACTTTTGCACTTTCAAGTTCACGCTTGTGTTACTTCCTCTTTAAAGTAGATCTATACCATAAATGCAAGGTCCATTTTTTTACATTTCATGCCCCTCCCCCCAAAGCCAAAACACTTAACTACACAGCTAACCCTGCCCTGTGACTCCACCCTGTGATCTTGCATTGTGGCCCCACATCCAGCCATGCCATCTGAGCATGACATGTTCACATAACCTCACATCGATACCTACTATGTGATCTCACTTGTTACCTTGCTACGTGACCCCATCATATGACCCTGCCGTGTCACATGACATCCAGCCCCACCGTGTGACCTCACCTGGTAATTCTGCATTGGTTGTATTGTAGATGTGATTCTGGTATTTCTGGATAAGGTCAGAAATAAAATGATTAGCTGGGCAGAACTTTCCTAGATGCCTATTCAGTTTGATGTTCTCATTTTCCCACAGTGCTCTCCTCCGCCGGGGCCTTCTTCATGGACACAAAGGGTCCAATCGTCTTCCAGAATGGGGATCTGAGCTTCGGACATCAAGTGGTACAGCTGGATAAATCGTAAGAGAGGGATCCATCCTCTATTCTGCAATGTGGGCAATGATGGGTTTCCTGGGACACTCAAGGACCACAGATGCTTTGGAGGTCCAAAGGCTTAGTCCAATAACCTCCACCTACATTTGACCTGTGTTGGTGTTTATGGGTAGAGTGAGGGATACATAAAACCTTACACTGTGTGTTCTTCAGTGCATCCAGTGCAGGCCCTAACACAGGTGTGAACATCTGAAGCCTCCTCGTCCTCACTCCTGCCTGTGAACCTCTGTTCAGCGGTCTTCTTGTTGGAGCTTCCTACAGGACACACAGCCTGGTAGCGCCGGTCCATTCATTGGTGGACCGAAATGTGTCCCACAGGAAGCTCCACTCATCATAATGTACAGACAGCCTCTGGCAGATCCATGGAGAGGTTCGGACGGGGAGGTCATGGATGCCCCTGTAGGTTCACTTTACCATTCGAAGTCCCGATGGCTCATCTCAAGGAGGGTTCATCAGTCTTACTGCACATTCCCCGAACCTTCCACCTCCGTGTCTTATAACATACGACTGTTGTCTGAATTGCAGCTCAGAACTGTGAATTTCATCTCTGTGTTTTGTGTGATTGCAGGGTGATAGTCAGCGCTCCACTCCAACAAACCGCCGTTAATAAAACTGGACAGTTGTTTCGCTGTGACCCGCAGGAACGCAAATGCAGCCCAATCGAAATTTCCACTGGTAACTCTTCCTTCTTAATCTTGTATTGATATCATGATAGTCCCGGAGGCCTTACTGTGTCCTGAATGCAGGGCTGTGCTTGATCATCTGTTTACCCGGGATTTCAGCCAGGCTCCTGACCGCTCTATAGCTGGAAGCTCGTGCGCAGCCTCCCGTCTCCCGCGCTGTCAGAAGCTACATACAGAGCGTGTACAGGTTACTATTTAAACCGGCACACTGTATGCAGCTTCTGACAGGCTGCGTTATTACCCTGTTTCCCCAAAAATAAGACCTACCCCAGAAATAAGACCTAGTTGTGACCATTCCCATGGCCGTGGTGGCATAAGTGGGAACTTGAAGAGCCGCGGGAGAGAATCAGCGGTGCCAGCGAAGCCAGCGCTAGAGGAAGCAAGGCGGCAGCGGAGGGAGCAGAGCCGCATAAGCCGATGCCTCCTCTATAGCCCCGCCTCCTGTCACAGGCGGAATGATACCAAAATGTGCAGCCGGCTTCCCCGCTATGCTAGTAACGTATCTTCTCAGAAGCTGCATACAGTGCGCCGGTTTAAATAGTAACCTGTACACGCTCTGTATGCAGCTTCTGATAGCGCGGGAGACGGGAGGCTGGGCTCCTCGGTGGATACTGGGATCAGGTGAGTATGAAAAAAAAAAATTATTATTATTTTATATTTCCGGGGACATAATTTGTTCGGGGACGGTCTCCTCAATCTGGGGACTGATGGAAATCAGGGACGAATGGTCACCCTACTGTACATGCTGGGGTATGTTCAGGGCTGTCTTTACCGCAGGGCAAAAGGGGCAACTGCCCTGGGCCCCATCATTTACAGGGGCCCATAGCAGCCATCCCTCTCGCCCGAGCAGCAGACAGAACAAGCAAAGCGCCACTGCTGGTGGGGAGACCGGCCAGTAGTGGTTTCCAGCCTGTCACTTCACAGGCTAGAAACTGCCAGTGTCTATGTCCCGCCTCCTGCAGTGGTCTCCCCCCGATGCCTGTCACATAGATCCAGCAGGCACAGAGGAGAATGAGGTGGAGGGCACAAAAGTCTTATTCTATTATTAAGTAGTACAGAACAAATGTACCAGTACGGGGTTATTTTAGCAAAATCGGAATTGCATTTCCATTGCATGTCCCCAAACACTTGCTGCATGGTGCACGGCATTTTTAACATATGCATTCTACAAATAATATAGACATAGTCCATTGCGCATACAGGGGTCTGGGTAGGGAAGGCGGGGGGGGGGGGAAGTCAGGTGATGGAGGGTTTTGGAGGCCCATCAGCAAAGTCTTGCCCAGGGCCCAATTAATATTAAAGATGGCCCTGGGTATGTTCCTGACACAGCTATGTTCATGATCAGCAAAACGTCTTCAACATTGAATGTGAATTGCTACATAATTGTGTAAATAGTCCCGAGGGAGTTTTTGCAGATGTCCCAGCAGCTCACGCTCCCGGTATCTTCATCTGAGGGGAAATTCTCGGCTCGTGGTAGCAGGAAGGGGGACAGTCAGCTCTATCATTTTCTTTGGTAGAATTTTCTGCACGAAATGAAACCCAAGACGTGGAAGTTCATTTAAAAATACAAAACTGGAGAACTAAAGAGACAATTTCAGTTCCCTTGAGAAGTCACACTTCTGCAAAACAAGACAGAAAGAGATCCACGCAACAGAGATATATCTGCAAAAAAAAAACTAGGGCTGCGGAAATTAACGACTAATTACCCGATTAATCGTTAAAAGTTTTGATTGATTAAAATTATTTTGATCACTAATGAAAACACTCCCCTCTCCGCCGGCTTCCGGGAGTCCCGTCGGAGATCCTGTCCACGGACATCAACGTCACCGGACTCTACCCCCACTTCCCTGCGTTACCCGTCACGGACATCGACGTCACCGGACTCCTCCCCCACTTCCCTGCGAGAGTGGGGGAGGAGTCCGGTGATGTTGATGTCCGTGACGGGTAACGCAGGGAAGTGGGGGAGGAGTCCGGTGACGTCGATGTCCGTGACGTCACCGGACTCCTCCCCCTTCCCTTCGTGAGCCGACGGAGCCACTTGGGCCGGTGAGTTTGCCTAAGAAACTTGTTCTGCAGGAGCGCCAGCCGCGGCATTGACCTACACACATACAGCACAGCAATGAAGTCATAAAATTAACTAGGATCACACTCATCCAGCACGTTATTATTCTGAGTTGCCCCACTCGAGCGTCGGCCATATTGAGTGTGGCGCGTGAGATTAATAACGTGCTGGATTACTGTGATCCTAGTTCATTGTATTACTTCATTGCTGTGCTGTATGTGTATAGGCCAATGTAGTTGGATCTGTATCTGCGTTATCATTAATCGAAATTAAATTACAAAAATTTTGATTAATGGAACACGAAACTTTTAATCAGTAACAGCCCTAGTAAAAAATAGGTCAAGGCAACAGGACTCGCTGTATTTTTCTTGAAGACGTTTCACGGGTCATCCGACCAGCTTTCTCAATTCAGAATGACTTGTATAGAAAACTCTCTGAGAATAAATATGGTGAATGTTGTTCCAATCTGCATTATCTGTTAGTCACAACCAAGCATTGATTGCATTTGCATAATTGGGGTCTAGGAGGTGTTATTAACCCGCCCAGAGAGAGAGGTGTAAAAACAGCATTGTATGTGGCAGACAATAGATGCCACATACAACGCTCAAGTCATTCTGAATGGAGAAAGCCGGTCGGATGACCAGTGAAACGTCTTCAAGAAAAATACAGCGAGTCCAGTTGCCTTGACTTATATTTTACAGATAGACCATGTGACCTGGAGGAATAAGAACCTTCAGACATCTCACAACAGAGGTGTTTTCTCCTTTGTGTGCTATGTTCTGGACCTCCTGGGATGGACTATAGACAAACAGAGGTCCCTTCCCTCCAGTGATAACTAAAGATCTATAAAGAGGAATCAGGACCTCCTTCCTCCTGCTGGGGACCCCTCTAGTCATAATAAAGATCTATATAGAGGGATCAGGACCTCCTTCCTCCTGCTGGGGGATCCTCTAGTGATAGATCTATATAGAGGGATCAGGACCTCCTTCCTCCTGCTGGGGATCCCTCTAGTGATAATAAAGATCTATATAGAGGGATCAGGACCTCCTTCCTCCTGCTGGAGACCCCTCTAGTGATAATAAAGATCTATAAAGAGGAATCAGGACCTCCTTCCTCCTGCTGGGGATCCCTCTAGTGATAATAAAGACCTATATAGATGGATCAGGACCTCCTTCCTCCTGCTGGGGATCCCTCTAGTGATAATAAAGATCTATATAGAGGAATCAGGACCTCCTTCCTCCTGCTGGGGACCCCTCTAGTGATAATAAAGATCTATATAGAGGGATCAGGACCTCCTTCCTCCTGCTGGGGACCCCTCTAGTGATAATAAAGATCTATATAGAGGGATCAGGACCTCCTTCCTCCTGCTGGGGGTCCCTCTAGTGATAATAAAGATCTATATAGAGGGATCAGGACCTCCTGGAGTAGTGATACTCCCCATGATTCTTTTTGCTCACTGTGCTGGAACCTTAAGACATATTGTTCGCACCCAACATCCTTCCACCGCCTTCCATTCTTTACTTTCCAGCTCCACACAGTACAGGAGTTCTCTAGATCCATCAGACGTGTGTACGATATGTAATACATGATTTATTTTGGTCATTGCAGGGTCAGACGATGGGATTAATATATCACTTGGACTCTCTCTGGCTGTCCAAGACAATTCGGCGCAGTTGTTGGTATGTGACTCTGTATGTCTGATTTCCCAACTTCTCTGAGAGTTTGCAGGGCCCAAGGACTCAGCTGTCTGAGGTCAGACAAATGGTGGCCTATGCTCAGGTTATATTGGCTGGCCATCACAGTGGCCACTCTCTGTGTCGGGCTGATGGACCTGACAAACCTCAACATAGTATTCCGGGTACCGTTGCCTTGTCTGTGATGGAAATGTGAAGAAACGCGGAGCCATCTGCTCCACCAATGAATGAGGGAACAAGGACGGTTTGTCTGTTTTATATATATTATAATATTATACTTTCCTGTCTGTTACAGGCTTGTGGGTCCACTCTACAGAGAGTGTGCGGAGAGAATATTTATGTTAATGGACGCTGCTACCAGGTAGACCTAAAAAGGCCGCAGCCCCGGCGTGCACTACCGGCCTTCCTACCAGGTAATCCTCACATCGTATTATGGTTTCTGCTGTCCTTATAACTACTGGTCCCAGCTGGAGCGCCATGATTAATATGTGTGGCCTGCACAGTAATGTGGGCTCCTCTGTGTATTGTATGCAGTAGACAATCCAGCGCACTATACATCAGAGGACCTGCAGACAACGTGTATGTACAAAGAGCACAGAATAATGACCAGGCTCACCCAAAAATAATGATTGGATTCCAAGTGAAGCTGAAGGCACATAACCTATTTATTCCACACACATAATAAAAATAAAACTCTCCCACCCCAAGGGGTCATTCCATCCAGATCTGCAGTGTTTGGCAGATGCTAGGCACCTATTCATTCTACTGATTTCTTTTTACTTTTAGAGAATCTGTTGGGGATGTCTGTATGCTAAGTTCCTGGCTCTGCACACCTGTACTACCCATTTAGAGATGTTCCCACCATGCCTGCACTGGGTCTTTAAAACTGCCATGCCCATTATAAGGGGCTCCCACCACCCCCGTGCTGGGTTCCTGGGTTTGTACACCTGCTGTGCCCATTGTTAGGGATTCCCACCATCCCCTGTATTGTTACTTTATATTATAGGGGTCTATAATGGTAGGAGTAGGGAGCGCCATTACTGACATAGGAAATATGTCACTGCAAAGAGGAACAAGAAGCAAGACAAGGAGGATGAAGAATCTGAGGAGCCCCGGCAAGATGAAGAGGGGGTGCCATACATCATACACCAAACATTGAATGACAAACAAATGTGTCCCATAAAGACAACAGTGGATAAATAAGGGATTCCTCCGCACACCTTGCAGCAGTCTGGGCCAATACAAAAAATGGTGCTTGCAGTGATAGTCACGGATGGCACCGTGCAAGGCAAAGAGACTTGACCTCACGTCCTGCCCCAAGGAAAAGGCCCTATGTGGTCTCGAAACGTTGGCTCTTGTTTGCTGTGACGTCTATGTCCAATAAATGGACATGTTGGATTATTTTTCTGAGTGCTGGTGATTTTTGTTTCCCATAAAGACAAGTCATGACACAAATATCCATCCTGGTATCGGTGTGCTACGGCTCCGGGGTTCCGGGATTTCTCTCACTGTCTCTCATTGTCTTTCTCTGTTCTTGCAGAGTGTAACCTTTTCAGCCTTGATATCGTCTTCCTGATTGATGGATCCGGCAGTGTTGCCACACAGGACTTCACGAAAATGTTAACTTTTGTGTCTAGAGTTATGACATCATTCAGCAAGACAGACACCCAGGTAACCCCCTGTACATGGTCGTATATGTATGTATTATAGTGCGGTGTGGAGACGGGTGGTCATTGTTCACATTGCTGCCTCCTCTGTCTCTCCTCTCCCCAGTTCGCCCTCATGCAGTACTCCAGCAATTTTATAATACACTTTGATTTCAATAAATTTGCTTCAGTAAAAGACCCGGCAGTTCTGACTTCAAACATCAAAAAAATGCAGCACCTAACCAGAACCGCAACGGCCATCCATAAAGTGACGTAAGTATTTCACCAGAACCGCAACGTTTCATCATAATAACACACTGTATATCCAGATAACAGGAGCCTGGGGCTTGAAGGACATAATTCAGAGGCTGCACCGTGTATAGATTGAGGGGTAGATTGGCAGATCATACAGGAATATGGCTCATTCCCCCCTTCCTGGAGGCCACAAGTCACACCCGATATGGGCACTGCATCTGGGCAAATAATGGCCCTCCTGAAGGATGTACAGGCCACATACATAGGACACATGTGCCAAGGTCTCAGCACACAACATGTTGACCTCTAGTGTTCAGATCTGTGTACCCTCATAGTCCTTGTATCATTAGAGATAGAAAGTGGGATGATAATATGTTCAGATTCCAATGTTCATCTCTCATTAGATCCAAAATATTAGTTGTCTGGAGATGAGAGTTATTCCTCCTGGTAGTATAATCAAAGAGCTTTACCTGGATATAAAATGGTATGTCCTGGCCTTATAGGACCACCTAGGGACAGTCCAAATGATTCTAAGGACCCTGATCACGGCAGTCATGTTGTATGTGGACTGACACACTGCATGTGGTGGCACTCTGTCCTGTGGATATTAGTGTGTGCTGTTTTTGGGTGTTACCTGTGTCCAGATTGGGGAAGTTTGTGTCATTATTTATCAGTGTGCTGGTCAATTTCTCAGCATGGGTGACGAACAGTGTCACCTTGTATATCGTCCGGTCTCACTTGTCACTGTACTCTAGGGACCCCGATCTGTGGCTTCTAAATGTCCATTCTGAGTGTCTCCACCTCACTTCTGGACTAGCATAGCGATGAGGACCTATGGATTGGCTGGCTGCCCCCTACACCACCCCTCAATCCCCGGCTCTGCATGACCCTCCTGATTTTCTCACTCCTCTAATAGGATATCAGGACGGGCAGGGCCAGATTTCCCACAAGGCAAGCAGGGCTAAATGTACAGCAGGGAAGCCGCGGCCTGTTTTGTACAAGTGATCCCGGCTATTTCGCCAAGATCACTGGTATGCAGCCTGCAGATCTGCCATTCTCCATGGGGGGGGGTTGGC